CTGCCATATATATGATAGATGGATTCCCACCGGTAATCTGCTTTCGTAGGGCAAAGAGATGATGAAGGAGATGAATAATATGAAAAATATTTCCTTTAAAATTTTAGGACATTTCCTATCTTATTAAACTGATAATTTGACCAAGTAATCTTCCCTCTGCTTCATTTTATGAAATTGTCCATGACAATGTACAGTTTTTCAAATATAAAATATTACTTAAGCCAGACCTTTAAAGATAACATTTGCATTTTAAGATAAATATAAGTGCCCCTTACTTTCCTTTTGAACATTGACTTGTTTTTCCCCTTTCCCCCTAAGTATAGACATGTTAGACAACTAATAGGATTTGCCTATGACTCTTTTTGGCCAATTTGTGAAAATGCAGTAATGTGCCCATGGATTTCTTCAGTGGACAGTTGCCCATTCTTTCAGTTTTGGGTATTTGGGAAGAGGACATGCTTTTAGGAGAGAGGAAATTTTCCACAATTCAAGTATTTGCCTTTTTTCATGCATTTTCAACACTATGAAAGTATTAAATGAAGGTTAAATTCGCATACAGCATAGCCTTTAACTTGAGTGTTGTTTAAAAGGACTGTTGACACTGGACTGCCATCTCCAAAAGTGCCAACATCTGAGTCACAGTGGTGCCAGAAGGAGCAGAGAAGAGCAAGAAATTGAAAACTGATTTGAAAAAGTAATGGAAGAAAACTTCCCTAATTTGGTGAAGGAAATAGACATACAAGTCCAGGAAGCACAGAGATCCCCAAACAAGTTGGACCCAAAGAGGACCACACCAAGACGCATCATAATTAAGATGCCAAAGGTTAAAGATAAAGAGAGAATCTTAAAAGCAGCAAGAGAAAAGGAGAGGGTTACCTACAAAGGAGTTCCCATAAGACGGTCAGCTAATTTCTCAGAAGAAACTTCGAAGGCAAGAAGGGTCAGGAATGAAGTATTCAAAATGTTGAAAAACAAGGACCTACAACCTAAGTTATTCTACCCAGCAAACCTATCATTTAGAATGGAAGGGCAGGTAAAGTGCTTCCCAGACAAGGTAAAACTAAACGAGTTCATCATCACCAAGCCATTATTGCATGAAATGTTATAGGGACTTATTTAAGAAAAAGAAGATAAAAACTATGAACATTAAAATGGCAACAAACTCACAACTATCAACAAATGAATCTAAAAAAGACAAGCAACCAGCCATAACAGGAACAGAATCATAGATACGGAGATCATTTTGAGAGTTATTAGTTGAAAGGGGGGAGGGGGAGAATGAGGGGAAAAGAACAGTTTTGAGAAGCATAACTGGTAGGTATAAAACAGACGGGGATGTTGAGAAAACTATAGGAAATGGAGAAGCTAAAGAACTTACATGCACAGCCCATGGACATGAACTGAGGGGAGGGGCTGCTGGAGGGAATGCGGGTGCCAGGTGGAGGGGGGCAAAGGGGGAATAATTGGAACAACTGTAGTAGGACAATCAATAAACTGTACTAAAAATGAATAAAATAGTGGTGAAAATCTCTTAATTAAATAATATTTTTATTTTTAAAGCAAAGATACTGATTTCGTGCTTCAAACATTAGAAAGGGGAAACCATACCTATTTAGAATGTAGTTTCCCCATCCCAGACGCTTGGCTGAGGGTGAGGGGAGCCGTTCATTACCTGCATCGTTCGCAGCTCCGACGTCCACTGTTCAAGTGCCACATACCTGGGCTCTGGAGCCGGGGCGATCGTGGCAATGTAAAACAAACAGGTCACGTTGCATTTCACTTCGCAGATAAAGTTGAACAGTGTGTCATTTTCCTATAACTTCAAAGCATGATTTTTAAAAGTGTATTTTTCTTGGGTGTAATAACTACTGGAATATAATACGGATGTTCCACGTAATTGGATGCACGAATAGAGACATTTAACTATTTGTAAGCAGAATTCTGATCACACTATGTCTTCATACCAGAATAAATTGTATGATGATCAGTTTTTTTGGAAACACTGGAGGATCTGCCAATATATAAACTTTTTTGTGATGCTGTTGTTGAAATCCCATTCTTCATGAGATTATCAATTCTAAAGTAGCGTCTGTAAAACTGATCCCTAATTTCAAGCATCCTGCTTAATTATATTTTATTGATGCTGAAAACTACAAATGAAGCAAAGCATGAGAATGGAGTTCAGTTTAATTTTATTTCTGTTGGAAGGTAACACAAGCTTGAATAAATTTTCCAACTTATAAACTTTCCATTTATGTAAAATAACTATAAATAAAACAAGCCACTTCAAAAATTGTTGTTAAAATTATATCACAAATTTCTTGTCTTAAAAACAAAGTATGTATTTTAATGGTGGGATTTAATTTCATTTTGATTGTGGTAATGATTCAAATTAATGTACTAATGAATAGGTTGCCATGAAATTTTATATGACTCAGGGATGATTCAGAACATTTTACCGTGGATCCAGCACATACAACGTTAAACCTAAAGGTCTTTCGGTGGCCCTGTGTACAAGTCCTGCATTCCGGTAAGTACTTGACCTTGAGTGTGTCTTCGACAGGCGTATGCGGGCAGAGACCTGGAGGAGCAGCTGCGGGAGGTGTCCAGTGTGGACGAGCTCATGACCGTGCTCTACCCAGAGTACTGGAAGATGTACAAGTGTCAGTTACGGAGAGGGGGCTGGCAACAGGAGGAGGAACAGCCCGACCTCAGTACGAGGACAGAAGACACTATAAAATTCGCTGCCGCACATTATAATACAGAGATCTTGAAAAGTAAGAATGGGGAACTCTGTATCTAAGGGGGGTTATATATACATCCACCCAGTGTGGGTTGCCAGCCTCGGCCTTTGCTTTCAGCATTTGTACCACTGAATAGTTTGGGGCCAAAAGTCAATATTGTTTTTCAAATACAGCATTTCATGATTTCACTGTGAGTGGTTGAGATAATTTTTTGAAATATGTATAAAGAGAAGAGAGTGCATGCCTATCAATGCACTTTAATTTTTTTTAATTAGGTGAAATGTCATTGCAAAATTTTAAAATATGTAGATATATTTTACACCGTGAGATTAATCATGCAAACATTCTGTGTCTTGCAAAATAATTTAGAAGTGCTTAAGTTCTAAATCATTCCAACTCATCTTTTCAAGTACTACGTGTTGCCTTATTGGTTCACAGGTAACAGGCTCAAGAGGGTACTTTGGAAAAGTCTCTGAAAGATCCAGCAAAAAGGGTCACAAAAAATTATGCTGTTGCATAAATTGGCATAGTATAAATTGGTAAATTACTTTAAAAAAGTAATTCCCTTCTGTTATTAGATATTAACGTCTATAAACATTTGAGATTGCAAGGTATCTTCAGAACAAAGCCAATCAAACAAAATGGCTTCCTGGTTCAATAATGAATAGCTTGTCCTTTTTTCCCCATTGGATTTTATTTTAGGGGAAATATGGGACAATAGACTAGAACATTTAAGATGTACATCATTTGTAATGCAGTAAAGAGTCAATGGTGCTGTGAGTAAACCACTAAGTCATTGGAAGCAAAATTCTGAGAAAAAGCATGAAAGGAACAGGAAAATTTGACTTTTCTGAAAACAAATGTAGTTTGGAATGCATGTTCCCGTTGATGGAAAATACCCTTGTATTTCAAGTAGCTACCACCAACCTTGATATTACCCAGAATTGCCAAATGGCCCTCCTGACACTGATGTTTGAATTGAGCCCAAAACCATAGCCATGTTCTCATTTACACCTCCATTGAAAAAGAAAAGTCAAATCCTGTTCCTATTTGCTTTGAGACCATGAAAACAGTGCATATTATGGCAAATGAGCATGACTGCCTCTGCGAACCTTGGCAACATCTCCACGTTAAAGTGGTGTTTTTTTCGGTGGAGAAAACCAAACATAAGTGCTGGGGAATGTTGATGTTATTTTAAGAAAGCATAATCCTAATTCAGCTTGATGCATGGCCGTAGAAATTTAAAAAACACATCCTTTGCTGTTCTATGGTGTTGGACAGCGGACGCCAGTTCACAGGGCCATGTAGGATGCCATCAGTTATTTCTTTAAAGTTGTCTCTGCAATGTCGATCCTCAACTCTGAAATCAAATGTCAGTGACATCCGACTGCTGTGGGCTGTTTCCGCCGTGGTGGCTTCTGTGTAACCTCTGGCCTTCCCTGTGACTCGACAGGTATTGATTATGAGTGGAGAAAGACTCAATGCATGCCGCGTGAGGTGTGTGTAGATGTGGGGAAGGAGTTTGGAGCAGCCACAAACACCTTCTTTAAACCTCCATGTGTGTCCGTCTACAGATGTGGGGGCTGCTGCAACAGCGAGGGGCATCAGTGCATGAACACCAGCACAGGCTACCTCAGCAAGACGGTAGGTGTCCGCCTCCGCCTGCGGCGCGTGGCCCCGCCCCGCCCTTCCCGGCCCTCTGTTTAAACCGCGCGCCCCTAACAGGACCTTCGTGCAGTGTGGAGTGTCGGGTGTTCTCTTTGGGGATGGAGTTCACTCCTCAGTATTTTGTGGTTTGGATGATATGACATCACAAAGTAACTGATGCCCAATAAACTCCCGCCGTGGTGCCAAAGCCAAGTGAAGAAAAGAATAAATGTGCACAGGACTGTGTGTGCGTTCACATGCACGCAAACAAATCATGCATGCACACACACACACACACACATGTTGATCTTTGAGGACAAAGAGTTTCACTTGGCAATAAGTTATTTTTATTTTTAATATATTTTATTGATTATGCTATTACCGTTTTCCCATTTCCCCCTTTATTCCCCTCTGCCCTGCACACCCCCTCCCACCCGCATCCCCCCCCCCCCTTAGTTCATGTCCATGGGTCGTACATATAAGTTCTTTGGTTTCTCCACACTATTCTTCACCTCCCACTGCCTGTTTTCTACCCACCATTTCTGCTTCTTATTCCCTGTACCTTTTTCCCTGTTCTCCCCCTTCCCACTGATAGCCCTCCCTGTGATCTCCAGTTCTGTGATTTTGTTCATGTTCTGGTTGTTTGCTTAGTTCATTTTTGTCTTTTCTCTCTTTTTTTAGGCTCAGTTGTTGATCGTTGTTGATTTTTCTTTCCTCAGTGACATATCAGATACTGCTCAAAACTCTCCAGAAACATTGCATTCTTGGGACTGAGCCAGCACTCAGCTGGGGTGTGGATAACGGCTCTTTTCTGATTGGACGGCTCAGGCCAGCATCAGTTCTGATTGGTTGGCACAAACATTCTAAGTTGTTAAATATTTTGAATGACACTCTTTCGTAGTTGAACTCCTTGCACAGGGTTCCCAGGGCCTTCAGGATCCGGCTGCTACCTACATCGGCAGCCTCAACTGTCACTGCTTTCCCCCTCAAATACTACTGTCCACCAGCTCCGAATTGTGTTATTCTTTAAATCATGTCAATGTCTCTTATCTCCAAGTCATTACAACACTGTGCCCTGGGTTCGAAACACCTCCCCGCACCCCATCCGCAGGGCTCCGCTGGTCTAGCTAATTGCTAATAGGCCTAGACGTAAACGTCACTTCCGGTGCGTGATAGCTCCCTTTCCGCTTCTGTTGCAGCATCAGTCCCTTATCTCTCGGATGGGTTTACTCCCCAGGCCCTAAACTCCGCGAAAGCAAAGCTCGTGTTGGGTTATCTCCCTGGGGCAATACAGCCCAGTAGTTGGCACACCGCGAGCAAACGCTTGGCACTGGTAGAATGGAGCCTTAAAGAGAACAGATTGGAGGTCAAAGTTAGAGCATTGCGTATATACTGATGTTGAAGAAGGTGAGTGGCATGTAGGTGGAGCGATCAGAAAGAGCCCGGGCACATATCATCCGAGAACTCCGCAGCAGCGACTGGGTCAGTAGCTGCAGACTCGGGAGGACACATCACATTGATAAATGTGGTTGGAAGCCCTGGTGCGGCTGGCACTGCTTAGAGAACCGATGGATCAGGAGAGGAGAGGGAAAGCCGGGATTCGATCACTGATAGTCCTGAGATTTTGTGAGTTCATGCCCTTCCCCCTCCTGAAGAAGCCACTCAGACTTTCTACGGCAGTGAAAAGGGTAGTTTTAGTCCGAATTGAAGTGTGCGAGTGTGGTGAGGCCCCCACTAAGTGCAGTGGGCCCACGGGGACACGTGGGGCCTACAGGAGTGGGGCTTGCAGCTGAGCCAGCCGATCCAGTACCAAGAGCAGGCCACGTGTTGGCGGAGAAGAGCACGGGTCTGCAGGAGTGCAGGTCAAGGAGATGTACACACCCAGGGAGAGCGAGGCGGGAGACTCCTCAAGGCAGCGTGGGCTTGCATCGAACGTTTTCACTGATATGGCAGCTTCTAGAAACTTGCGCTCAGGGAACGCCTCTGCCCCAGTTTATTGTATGATGTTTTCAGGGCAGTATAAACGGGAGTGCGGGGCGATCCCTTTCAGACATAAAAGGAAGTTCCTTCACTGCTCTGTTTTTGAAGGAAACAGAGTTTGTGTTTTGTTAAAGGCGTTCCAGACACATCATTTAGCAACACAAGTCACCTGTTGGAGTCATACACGTTGTAAGGGCAATGGACCCTGAGTCAAGTGACACCCACGTGTTCTGTGGAAACGTCACAGGAATGCCTTTAAGGGCTGCATGGAGGGTGTGTTATCGGAGCGTGTGAGGAGCCTGGCTAGGTGCAAAGTGGAACCATCTGCACCCAGCATTCCAGGGGCCTAATCAATAGCACCTGCTCTGCGACACCCCCCCCCCCCACACACACACTCACCCAGGGCTGCTGAACCCTTCAGGTGATTGGGTGGTTTTGTGACCTCTTCCATAAACAGATCCTTTCAGCGTGTTTTCTTATGAGCAGTTGTATATTTAAGAGATAGCACCAGAGAGTAGAAAGTGGATTTTGCACAAGGTCGAATGATTTTATGATGAATGTAGCAGCAGAAGAAAGTCCTCTGCTTCTGAGCCAGATATTTGGATTGAGAAGTCAGTTAAATGTTAGTAGTTACCTTATGTATTTGCCCTGAAGACAGGAATGAAACAGAATTCTGAATCCCCGGGGCTTTCGTGGGAATTGGGACCTCCTCGCTGTGTGCTCTGGAGGCAGTAAGGGAGGCGGCTCCGCCTGGGAGTTCGGTCTCTGGCTCATCCTGAAATACCTGAACAGGATCCATTACACTTCTGTGTTGCTATCTTCAGGAGAAACGGCTCTTCTCTTTTTCAATTATGTTATAAAGAAATAGTAAAAGCACAAAAGCATTCCAGATTATATTTGAGTTAAACTGGGGTTTTCATAAAATTTTCTTTGGCAGAAAAATCTTTTAAACCTAAGTACAGTGAGCAATTATAGACTGAAACTTAAAGGTACTATTTTGCACTACAGACAGGGATGGTCCTTCCATTAATGAAACAGAACACTGTGGCTGTCTGAAAAATTAGCTTATTACATTCATATGTACTCAACAAGTGGAATGGGTTTGTTTTGAATCTTCGGCTAATTAATATTTGGCATGCACACTTGTTGAAAATCAGGTTTTATCCAGATGGGGAAAACCCAATACCAATAACAGCTAACCCAAAGTTTCTTTAGGAGTCACATTTGCCTCAACAAAAAAATTAATGCATCTATTATAAGTAGCACTTTTTTTTTTCAAGTCAAAGTACTGATTGTGTCCACAAATCCTGTCAGTATTTCTAAACCTCCTGGATGGCATTTTTGTTATAAAGTTAGCACTGAACATATATTTTATGTATAATAAAATCTTAAATTGATGCAGAGCCAGATGTAAATCTGTTGGGGTCTGCTCTCCTATGTTCTTCCCGGACCAAATTAAGCTCCACAGGCCCTAGGTAGTTGGCTATGTGGATGATATGCTCAGTTGAGCAAAAAATAAAATGCAAAAAGTAAACGCTCAGTTTTCACTTTTCCCCATTTTGGGGTGGGGGATTATTTCTTTAAATGACTGTGTAGTGTTTCTATCCAATTTTGCCATTATTAATCACACACTCCAGGGGCTACAGATTGCTTCCACACTTAATTAATAGACTCCAGGTTGGAATATTTAAATTAAACATGGTTGTGAGCCACCATGCTTTGAAGAGAAACCGGTTCTATTTTGGGATGTGAAGGTATAAAGGGAGGCATTTTTTGGTTGCCTATTTGTACGAAGTTAATCCAGGATCTTCTCAGTAAAAAAGTTCTGCACCTCTTTTCTTGAGTAGCCTGCAAACTCAGTAGAAATAGGAATTGTTGCTTTACAACTGTTGCTATGCTGGGTAAACAACCTATTGTTTCAAAAAGTGGCTGTTTTTGAAGTTCATTCTTGTTGGTGAGAATTAACTCTTAAATGTTCTTATTAAAAAATTCCAATTGATAGCAACAGGGAAACTCTCAGTTGGAAATGATCGCCATTTCCTTTTTAAATTACAGTTTTGCAGAAAACACAATCAGGGCTTTTTTTATAATTATTATTTTCCAGCCTTGTTTAAATGCCCCTTTTATGTAAGTTCTTTTGATCCTCAAAGCTGGCTACTCATTAAATAGGCATATATTGACAGACTAGCATCAGTCTCCATAAGGAATTTTACAGTTATTGAAACCCTAAATTAGATACGAGTGAATATCTTAAGAACAATTCACTTCATAGCATAAAACTATTTTAGGAAAATTGTCATGCTCTAAATATCAAATTCTGATTGCCACCACCAGTCCGTGCTGGCTGAATGCACATATGTACATAGTGGCAGCTCATGCTGAGTACATGAATTTTGCATTTGATGAGCATAAATCTGAATTAGAAAATACTATTATGTACACATTAAAGCCCCAAATAGTCTGACAATAGTGTAAGAATTCTTATTTTATCAAAATGTAAAGAACCTATTATTGCCTCAAACACTGATGTGTTTGAATAGACCTTGACTCTTCCAGAGAAAATTATAGAAACTGTGTTGATTTAGCTTTTCATACAATGGCAAGCACAGATTTCCAGAAGAGGGTAAAACTATAGGATTTTGCTCCCTGACAGCGTTTGTGGTAAACTAGAGGATGTTTTGAAAATTCTAACACAGCATCATCACCTGGATGACGAGTTCTCTAGTTCACTCCCATGGTTAGTTTTGCTCACCTGTGAGGTGCACAGATTGAGATCACTCTGTGTTCTTGACAGTCGAGCAAGGCACCTGGCACGTGGCTTCTTATAGGTTCTCAGAAGCAGTTATTGAAAAAAAGATAAGGAACAATATTAAACAGAATTTTTAAAATTTGTAATTCATCTACCAAAGATTCAACTCAATCTTGAAGGCAAATGGGGAAGACAAGGGGAATCCAAGCAGCCCTATTATGAAATCACCATATTATTGTCCCTATTTTATACTGCAGTGGTGGCCAAGGGAAGCTGGGTAATTTTTCCAAGTCATGGGAGTGCTAAATTGAAAATTCAGGACTCCCAATAATGTCTGCCTGTTTTTGAAATCATCCCCTTGGTTATTCTTACATCTCTCGTGGAGAAGGGAACTTGCCAGTTATTTTAACAGCATATCGATTTATTTTAGGAGGGGGATGTGTGAGTTTATAACGTGATTCTAAATATTAATATTTTTAGTTCAAACAATTTTACATTTTCAAGCACCTATTATCTGATTAGGAAAAAAGACACATGGACATTCTTAGTAGCATAGGCATTAAATATAGCTATATAAAAATGCACACTCACTCAGTAAAGAAAAGAGAATTTACTATGCCTGTAAAGGTAGTGATTATGTAATTGCTGGAAATGAAGACTGTCAATCAGTGCGTGCACTTAAGCACAGAAAGATCTGGAAGGCGGCAGACGCCCTTCGCTGGCAGGAGCCGGCTGAGGTGCAGTGACTTCCTGCGCCCGCAGCGCACTCTCAGATGTCCCTGGTTTTTCTGAAATTGACACTCACGTCAAACTCAATTGTTCAGAATTTCCCTACTTTTGATATGCGTCACAGACATCTTTCTCTGGACCCCACCCTCTGTTCCACACTGTGGCCCGGTCAAGTAGAGAATTAAAGGAACTCCCTGAAACATTCAGGTCAAAATTTGGAGGTAGAAATGTTTCAAGAAAAATTTTTGTTTGCTTTAATGCTTTGACCTATTTATTCCTTTTGATAGAGTTAACTGAATTTAACTGATCAATTGCCTCTTTACACTCAAACAAGAGAAATGAAACACCAATTATTAAGGTTTTTATTTTATTTAATTAGTTACACTATGGGTATATTTTTCTCCCAAGTTTTACTGTAGTTTTCAGCCAATAGGAAATAAAACACTTCTCTGAACAGTGATTATTTTTTAAATCCCTCTTTACCTGACCCTTTATGCTTCTAGTAGTGTGTCTGCCAACACAGATCTCTTCTCCTTGGAAGTATAGAGCCAGGCTTATTTTTCTAGGAACATACTTTCTTCATGGGCATTTAACTGACCTTCATTCCACTGGAACATTTTTCCCAGCCCCGGGTCTCGACACACACTTGGTACTTGCAGGTGGGTCCTGACTGTGGGCAGATGCCCTGGGAGCCACCCAAGTCTCACCGTGGCAAGGTAGGGTCTGGAATGGCCGCCCTTAGGGCTGGGAAAACATCCTTCACTCCTCCGAAATAGCCCTTATCTCAAACAGCGCCTTATCCTCTGCTCTCGGGCTCTGTTCTGCCTCATGTCACTTGAGACATTGACAAATCCTGCAAGGATTACTTGCCAGCGTAAGCCAAGTGCCCCTGCAGCCAGAGCCAGCTGAGCCCTTTCCCTCCAGTCATGTGGGGCGTCTCCTGTCTCCCCACTGCACAGGGCTCCTGTCCTCACAGCCCCTGTCCTGCCCCAGTCCTTAGAGCTGCTCCTGGTGCCCGGTTGTCTCTGCTCTGGCCTTCTGTACTTGGTGTCCCCGAGACCCGGGCCCCTGTGACCACAGACACCTTTCTGGAGCTCTCCTGTCATTCTCGGCCTTCCCTGGGTTTAACAGCTCCCCCATCCGGATTCTCTGCATGCCCACGCCTTCCCAGTTGTACTTACCAGCTCATCGGCCTCCTTCCACCCCTCAAAGGTTCCCGGCCCCAGGTGTCTTTGATTAGAGAGTTTATGACCTCACCGGGTCATCTTATCAATGCCCCAGGCTTCAATCACAACATCAGTATGGATGACTTTTAGATGGCTCTTCTAAGCTCCAGGCACAAGTATCTACCCGCATAGTAGACAGAAAATCTAGGCTCTTGTGGGCTGGGCTCTGCAGGTTTCCACTGCTACCACTGTCGCAGAGCTTACGTCGTTTGCAGAAGTGAAATATGGAACATGTGAGAAACGGCTCGTTTTCTAAGTCACTTCCTATTTGTTTTGTAACTCTGGTTGTTCATGTAGGGGCCACAGATGTCATGAGGAGTACTGTTCCGTTCGTGGGCACTGCAGAATTATCGTTCTTAAAATAGTTATGCATGGTGTAAAGGGCTTCTGCCAATGTGGTATTTCACCTAATAAAAGTTTTTATCCAAACTGCATAAACAAATGTCTCCTGGAGAAGAAACAGGTCAAAAGCATGCTGCTGGGGTGCGTCGAGGTCACATGCTGAAATTATTTACATAGAATGGAGTATTCTGGAGCATAGCTAGAATCCAGAGAATGCATGCAAACAATTAAAAAAACCCCACACCCATCAGTAACCACTGTGTGTGTGTCACGTTCATATGTATTAGCTTATGTAGTTTTCATAACGGTCTCATGAACTCTGGGGCCAAATATCCTCTTCAGCTTTGAGAAGTTAAATGACTGTTCAAGTTCATACTACTTCTAAGTGGGGTTGCTAATCCAAGTGTCCCCCTGGGTGTCTGGGGGTGACCTTGTGCCCGTCCCTCCTAAGGCACCAAGGCTAAGAAAGCAGCTGGCATTTGAAATGTATACATTTCGAGTGAAAAAAATCCGCATTTTGTAATGTGGGCATTTCTGGATTTCCTTCTTCAGCCTCCTTTCAGTAAGTCTCTCCGTAGTATGGACAGCATGGCCAGTAGTCGTGTTCCCTGGGTGTTTTCACTGACCTCCCACTGTTGGTGTGAAACCGCAGCCAGGCACCGAGTCCCGGGGCTCTGGACTGTGTCTTCTCTCCTGCGCCACTCCGATGGCCATAAAAGTAGCAAACAGCACATGGTTCCACTGCGGTGACGTGGCTACAGGTGGATCTTATCAAGGAGCCGCTGGCCAGGGTTCCACGTTCACTGTTGTGACTGGCCATCATTTAGATTTCGAGGGCCTTGGGAATTTTTTAAGTCCACACAGGTTTTCTTAACGACTCATTTGTCCACTTAAATTCAATTTTCAACTTGAACGGTTTAAAGTCTTGTTTCTGTAGAAGGAAGAGAACTGGAATTCCCCACAAGGAAGGCATTCAGAAGGAGACTTTGGTTAAAGTAACTTGTGAGGCTCTAATGCACAGTCGTGGAAAATGTCCTACCTTATGTTAAACGTATTATTTCCCTAATACCTTTGTCAGCACAGCAGAAACAAAGCTTTCTCTAGTCAATAGTAGATGTGGCTTTTTTTTTCTTTTAAACGTCATAAATTTATAAGAGATCACAAATACATGTAACTGCCCCGAAGGACAGATGTAATTTGGAATGAAAACCAATTTCACGTCTGTGTGTATTCAGTTTATGTACGACGAGAGTTAAGCAAACATTTCTAGCTTTGCTCTTAGATCACAGAGAAATGTATGTCAGTGCCACTTTCTCACCCCCTGGAACAGCCTAAGACTCTGAAATAATCCTTTTTCCGTGAAAACATTGGCCTGCCACAACTCTGCTCTGGAATCGTTGGCTGGTTAACGAGATTCTAACGTGTTTTACAACAGTGACAGGAGCCAAGCGTATGGACTGTTGATGAAGCTGATAAAGGGAATGGATTAGAAGCACAACAGTTTTTGCGCCGTGAACATAAAACTTTCCTCGTGCACGTAGCAGGCGGCGCTCGACCTAATCACGAAGAGTTCCTCCCTCTCTTTTCGGACTCCGGCATCCACCCTAAAATGCTGCACAGCGACGATCTAATGTTTTCTTCTCTCTGTCCCTTCTTTGTAGTTGTTTGAAATCACGGTGCCTCTCTCCCAAGGCCCCAAACCGATAACGGTCAGTTTTGCCAATCACACGTCCTGCCGCTGCATGTCTAAGCTGGACGCGTACAGACAAGTGCACTCCATCATCAGACGGTCCCTGCCGGCCGCGCTGCCGCAGTGAGTATGACGCACGCTTCTTTCGTCCTGTCTGCGTCCCGTGCCGCGTGCGCAGGACGCTGTTGCGCGTGGCCCGCTTTATTCAGGGGAGCTGTGTGACGTCTGCGCTAACGCGTGTCGCCCCCAACACGGAAGACGACAGATGTAATCGTGTGCCGGGAAAACAGCACCAAAGAAACAGGGAAGCCCGCCGTCCAGCACTTGCATGTTTTACTCATGTTTCCATAGTGTCTCCTTCACCGTGCTACACTGTCTGAGGCACGGAGAGACAAGCAGGAGTAAGCAGACCCCGGGCCTTAGAGGAAGCCAGGTCTAGACTTGAATGCAGGTCCGCCACCAGTGAGCCGTTACACACCGGGTATTTCGTGTCTCGGAACCTCAGTTTGCTTCTACAGAAAGTGTCAGGATGTAGAGAGAACTGAATAAGGTACTGAATGCTTTACAGTGCTTAGCACCATGTCTCGTATCAAAGAGATTATCATAAAGGGCAGATGCACTTTTATCACGAAGATTCACGCCTGACTCATCTCCTTATCTCTGTGTTTTTCAGTGTTTTTTTTTTCATCTTTAGCTACCCTCAGAAATGTATTTTATATTCCAAGCAGTGCACACATAACTATGTGTGTATAAGAAATATACATACAGTTTTTTCTAAGATTTTATTTATTTATTTTTAGAGAGGGAAAGGGAGGGAGAAAGAGAGAGAGAGAAACATCAATGTGTGGTTGCCTCTCACGTGGCCCTCACAGGGATCTGGCCTGCAACCCAGGCATGTGCCCTGACTGGGAATCAAACCTGCGATGCTTTGGTTCGCAGCCCGCGCTCAATCCACTGAGCTATGCCAGCCAGGGCATATACACATATAGGTTTAAAGTAGACAACTCCTTAAGTGGACAGGCATTGGAGACACAAGTGTAGGCCTTGGGAACGACACGTTTGGGTTACAAGGAGAAAGAGGGTGTGCCGATAATTTTAAAAAGACAGGAATACGAGTTTGAAAAGGACTTAGTTTTTCCCGCGTAGCTTGAGTGTCTGTAAGAAACCAACGTGACTGTTCGGCAGGCAGTGGGGTGTGGAGCTGGGAGGAGGCGGTGGGAGGTGTCCGCTCATGTGGTGGCTAGGAGCATATAATTGATAGTGAGAGCAACTGGGAGAGACGAACTCGGCCAAGGAACGTAGAGGAAGTAAGCAGAGAAAATGAAACCAAGGGAAACATCAATATTTAGAAAAGCGTTAGAGAAACAATTGTCTGTGCAGGGGACTGAGAAAGAGCTATCAGAAAAAAATGAGGGCTAAAGACTGACAGAGAAAGATATTACAAAATCCAGAAGGTATCACAAGAGCCAACCAGAGTGCAAGGACAGAGGGGTGGTGAGGCGATCAACTATTAGAAAAAGCTCAAGAATGAGTCCGCTTGCCAAAGGACGTGCAGTCAGGATAACATTGCCCGTAATTCATCCTGTCCCCTGTGCTGGGCAGAGAGGGAGCGTGTGTTTGAGGAAGGAGGAGAGAAAGTGAGAACAGAGACCGATTCCGAAGGCATCTGAGAAGCAGAACCACGGGGGCTAAGTAATGTCTCCAGCGTCACAGGACGAGGGTGTCCACTTCAGAGACTCAGACTGTACTTTCGGCCGGCTCGCTCCTTCGGGGCTGCAGCCCTCACTGCATTGTTAACCTGGTTCGGTCAGAAAACTTCCAGCATTTGTTAAAAGACGACAAAAACAAAAATGACATATCTGTCTGCCCCAAGTCAGAATTTACCAGTTTTTTCCATGTTTACCTAAGATACAACCCAGAGGACCAAGTCACCATTCTTTTTTTTTTTTCCACTTTATTTTTATCGTTGACACTATTGCAGATGCCCCCACCCCTTCTGTGCCCTTCCTCCACCCCTTCGCCCCCCGCCTCCCCTCTGGCCCTCACTGCACTCGTGTCTGAGTCCGTGGGTGATACACACACGCTCTTGGGCTGATCCCAGCACCTCCTTCCACCGGCCCCCCGGCCCCCCCGGCCCCCTCCCCTCGGACAACTGTCACTCTGGTCCGAGTCACTACTCTTAATCCCCCAGTGCTGGAAGTGATCACTACCAGAAGTTGTATTATTTTCATCCGTGCTCTTCTAGCTTTACGGAATATGGGTGTGTTAACACGCCACAGGAGATGGTATAGTACAGCTTTGACTAACGTTTTTCATGTTAAAGTGGCGACCTTGCCTTTTTCTCTCAGCAGTATGTTTTAATCGCATTGACGTCTGTAGGTCCGGTTTGTTCATTAAGTAGCTGCGCAGTATCCCACTGTATAAATAAGCCAACGGAATAGTCATGCTTATTCTGTGACAATAGACTACAGGAAAGGCCGTCTGCTTACATGTGAGGAAGAGAGGAAAATGTCGCAGGCGAGGGATGAATGCACTGAAGGAAATTTTACCCGGTGGTAAATTTACTGGTTAGTTCATCGGTTATCATTGTCAAGGTCCCTCAGTGTTTCCTAAAAGAATTAGCCCATTCTGGGGACAATGAGTAGACCAGAGTAATTTAACTGGGTTGCAATCTTAATTCATACATTTATTCTCCGTTTTCGTGTAACACCATCCAATGAATGCCTATTGATGTGAATCAATTTTCTCGGGTAAGAGACTGCAGACCCTGAGGCACGGTGTTTCTAAGAGGAAGCTCACTGTGCTATAGCGGGAACCTATAGCACATTGACCTGCCTGCTCTGTGCTGTGCCCCTAAAACGCAATAACCAGCATCCCCTCGGCTTGCTGATTGACAGGCAGGAACCACAGCAAAGAGCACGTGACTGGGAAGATGGATCAGTACACCCTCTGCACGGAGGTTGTGTCTGTGAGGTTACCCAGAGGTGGGAACTGTTAGATCAGGAATGTTGTGAAGCTGAATGTCAAGTTCAACCAAAGCACATCGATGATGGTTTTTAATAAATGTCCATGTTACTAGACTAAGTCTACCAGTTGTTTTCTCAAAATTATTAATAGAATGTTTCA